TAACCAGCGTAGAGTAGAGTGGAAGAATGACTTTTCGTATCTTGCTCACAACACATCACTTAATGCATCCCAGAATCATGGTTGCTTTTTTTGCAACAGCATCACACCGTTGACTCATATTTAGCTTGAGGTCCACTATACCCCCTAGATCCCTTTCTGCCATACTCCTTCCTAGGCAGTCTCTTCCCATTCTGTATGTGTGAAACTGATTGAGTGATGAGAACCACTCTGTATCTGACCTGTGAGACGTATTCCCCACAGGAGAAAGGGTGGTTTTGTCTTGTATCATTTTCCTGTGCGAGTTCATTCAAGAGCATCGTGATTGTCTGATTTCACCCACATCATTGTTATTGGGGCATTTAGTGCACTGGATGAGGTACCCCACACATTGTGATAGGCTTGTGTAGGATCCGTGGATTTTGAAAGGTGAGTTGTGGGAGGTGTTGATCATTGTAGCAGTGGAGATATGTAGCAGATTTTGCATCTGTTGTTCTGGCAGGATCTGGTGCTGCTTTGAGTTGGTGTGTCCTGGTCTGTGGGGAGCTTGCTTCTGATGATTCCCTTGGAGAGGCTGGCGGGTTGTTTGAAGGTCAGAAGTGGGGGTTCAGGGAAGACTTCTTTCAGGATGTGGTCCCTATCGAGTATGGGTCATAGTTGTTTGATGATGCCCCGTATAGGTTCCAGTGTAGTGTGGTAGGTAGCAACTGGTGTGCAGTCAGAGGAGGTTTTATTTCTGTATTCAAGCATGTTCTCTCAGGGTATTTGGACAGTCAATTCCATGAAGCAATCTACTTCTCTAGTAGGATGTCCTTGTTTCGTGCAGGCAGTTTTGAATGCGTTAAGGTGTGTATCCCAGACTTTCTCCTAGGAGCATATTCTGTGCTATATGAGTGCCGGGCTGTAGATTACAGATTTTTTTGGTTGTTTGGGGTGGTTACTGGGTTTATGACGTTAGGTGTGGTGATCTGTGGGTCTCTTGTCTAGGGCTGTCTGTGGGGTTCCATTGTTGAAGCTGATGGTGGTGTCCAGGAAGTTGATGCTAGTGTGGGAGTGTTCCACAGAGAGCTTAATGGCTGGATGGCTGGGTGGTGGTTGTTGAAGTTGGGGTGGAAATCCACGAATGTGGAGTCAAATCTGTAGTAGATTTCAGTCTAAGGTAAGTTTTGCCAGAGCATTTGCAATCAGCTCCACTGTACATGGATGCAGTGAGAGAGCCCCTGAGCCAAAGAATTTAAACACTAAACAGACAAGACAGACAAAGGGGGGAGAACGGGCAGACATCCTATCAGAAGATTGGGAAGTGAGATGCAGAGAGATTATAGAACTAAATCCACACAGGGCTTTAGGCCCTTAAAACCAACATCTGGGGGCCATGGAGATCATCAAAACCCCTGCTCAGCTGCCGCCTAGCCCTGGAGCTGCTGAAGTTTCCACCAGTAAAACCAGCGCTAAAGACTTGCTGACACTCTCTCGCTATGCTGTAAGCACAGCCCTGCCCAGAAAAACGGTTGCACCCTGATCCTCACTCCCCTGCCCTTGCCAGCAGAAGTGCATCACTTCTCAGAACTGCCCATTCCACGTCCTTCAGGGAATCCCATTTTTCTGTAATGAAGGATAATTGGCCACCCTCTCTCTTGCCCTGCATTGGGCTGGTGGAGGGAAATAGGTCTCAAGAAGGGTTTGAATGTGAGGAATTTGGCAGGCGTGTCAGGCATACACAAGATTTGGGTAAGATGTCACATTGTTGGAGGGGGTTTGTCTAGACTGAAGCTTCTGGGGTTACCTGCTCACTAAACAGAGCAGAAAAGTCTTGACATGCACAATACAGCTCTATATGGGGCCAAACGAAAAACATCCGTTTAAACTCTTAACAAGCAGGGGAAACTAAATAGCAGGACTGGAGAGATTCATTTTGTACATCTGCCCTTGTCTGCTGGCACATTGAACTATTTCTCAATGAAGGTGCCATCATCTGTGTTTCTCTTTCTACAGAAATTACCGACCTGATGGTGAATCAAACCCCAACCAGTGTCAATGATTTCGAAGGCTCAGAACTTACCATGAAGTGTACATTCAAGACAGTCAATAACCACAGCACCATGTATGTGCGATGGTATAAGTATGGGACTGAGGGACCAAAGAAAGAGCTGGTGAATGACAGCGATGTGATCACAACTGTGCATTTGGAGAATAGGTTTGCCTCTCTCACTTTGAAGAATGCAAATTCATCTAATACAGGAACCTATGTGTGTGAGGTGGGGATCACAGCAAGGAACCTCTCTGGGAATGGACCAGGAACCCAAGTGACCATTGAGAGTAAGTGCCAGAATTTCCTACCTGATCTTCTTGGGGAAATGGGGGTGAGCGAGTGAGAACAAGAACACATGTCTCCTGGAAGGTGTTGAGTGTCTTCAGTTCCACCTTCAATGGGAGCTGAGGGTGCTCCACGCCTGCCCAGAAGCACTAAACTCCTTGCAAGATAGAGCCCTGCAGGACGATATTAAGGGGGAACAATGTTTCCATTTTAGATCCTTTACAGCCAAATGTTTCACATGGCCTCAAATTAGTCTCTGAACATATGCTTGCCCATGTCGCATACACACATATTGGTACGATCAAAGCCTGCCTGCGTGCCTGGAATCTGGAATTTGTGAGAGATAAAAGGGTAGTTAGACATGAATTTATGTCTGATTTGTGGATGGGTGAAACCTGGGGCTGCTTCTTATGTCAGATCCGGTTCACATAAGGATCCATATTGCAGGAGGCAACTTCTCCAGACTGAACATTTGGGGGCGAGGGAGGTGGGATGGTTTTCTGGTCTTACCAGGCATCATAAAGCTATGAGTGGAACTAAGTGAAAGCATCACGTTAACCTCTGATAAGCAGGGAATGTTAAATGGACAGGCTGGGAAAAGGACACATAATACTGGAGGGGGAGACATTTATTTTAATATATCCCCAGTCAACAGCCATTTACAGGTGCGACTTTGGTAAAAATGGCGGTGGAAATGGAACCAGAGTGACCATCCATGGTCAATAGCAGCATTTTCCTCTCAGATCTTCACTGTATTTCCTAGGGAAGAATAAGGACTAGGAAAGGAAGAGCTAATGCTAATACTAATGATATTGATGGGACAGGAGTTGCTGGCAAACAGAAGGAGAAGGCAAAGCTATGGAGAGATTTGCAGTGAGAAGTCAGAGATTCCTGGTGGCTTTCCAGATCCTGCCCATCTTTTTTTTTTTGGGTCATCCAAGTACTTGCAACCCCCCCCTCCCCCCCGATGTCCTTCGCACAGCAGCACAGCATTGCTGCCCACCAGAATTCTCCGAGCCACTGGGTGATGGGTGAATCACAAAGGGTTCAGAGGTTCGGAGAAGCACCTCTAGGTTCAGAAGCTCTTCTCGCCCGTATTGAACAGTCAGTTTCACCATGACAGGCTCTCTTGTAAGAAGATTTCCAGTATTTCCAGTTTTGAGCAGGATGGAAATGCCTCTTGGTATATTGCTAATACTGTTTTCAGTCTTGGACAAAAACAAGAAGTGTCTAGAGAACAGACCTAACAACCCACTCAGAGTAGTACCACTATTGTAAGCTGCAGTGTTTTGGAACATAACTGCAGAATACTGTCTGTCTTTTTTTTAAATGAGGGAAATCTTGTTGAACCTCAGCGCAGGTTCCAGTTTGATTCTGGGTGAGGGTGTAAGCTACTCTTTACTTTACCCTAACTGATTAGCCCAATACCATCTTCTAACAAATGAATCCACCAGGTTGGTGTCGGTTATTCTTCAAGTAGTGGTGGAACAGTGACCCAGTTTGTCTTTTCTCCTTCAGCTGTTCTGCCGCAGGACTCCTCAGGTGGTGGTGGGGGTGGTCTAGTGACCTACCTCACAGCATCTTCCCCTGCCCCTATCCAGCAGGACTCCTGTAGAGGTGATAATGCCTGACCTATGTTGTCTTTCCCTAGAACTAGAGGTGATGGGAGTGTAATAACTCAACTTCCCCTGCTTCTGTAGCCCCTGTCTAGTAGGACATCAGCGAATTAACATTTCTTTCAACAGCACCTGACCAAAGGCTAATGAGCTCTTACATTGTTCCTGGAGCTGTGGCTGGGACACTTCTCTTCTTGCTGGTGCTCGGTATCCTTTTGTGGAGATGGAGACAGAGCTCCAAAGGTAAGGTTTACTTGGACAATAAATGTAAACAATTTCTGCATGAGGGGAGCTCATACGATGCCGATAGATTCTTTTTTGTGTCCTTCCTTTAGCTGAATAAAGAGTAATTTGGGGAATTTTTGCCAGTGAACATACAGCAGCGGTGGTGAACTGGCAGCCCTAGTTAGTGAAGTCTCATACCTAAGCACAGATGCCGCCTGGGCAATGGTAGGACTATTCTATGTCTCCTCCCTGACCTGAGGAAGCACCTCAAGGTGTGAAAGGTGGATTCAGTCTCCACGTCTATTCCACCTTTGGCTGGATTGCCAACAAAGCCACCAATTATTGGCAATTGCTCGGGTGGGAACGTGTGGGCTGTAGATTCTGCTCCACTATGAACTAACGAGACTGACAACTAACTCCTTCAGTTAAGTGACCCAAAGGTCATCAGAGAATACCCAGCTTGGCCACAACTTCATTTTTTTTTCCAGAACCACTTCAAAGCAGGTCAGAGGCAGAGATGAATCAGATGGAGACGGTGAGTTGGAGAGCTTATCATAAGAGCTGCATTTAATTTTTCTCTCTAGCG